TATCTCTTTCCCAGTAGAAGTGGTTGTTTATGGGGAAGTCAGTCTGATGGAGACTCGAAGGAGCCAGGTCTGAAATGAGTCATCAGGAGTTGCTATTTCTTGGAACGGTTCTGCTTTGCTGTTTGGCACTAAGTCAATTATGGAGTGTCTTTAGAACTGCACGCCTCAGGAGCATCCTTCTTAGGATCTCTTACTTTGTAGAATGCTAGTCTGCCTTATATGAAAAAGAGGTTCTAGAGATGAATACCTTGGGGAAATGGTGCGTTAGAGAAAGTTGATGAGGTTTCTTAATGATAGGACTTCATAGATTCTTTAATATGTGGATATGCAGTATAACTTTCCATGTGGGGCATAGTGTATGCAGCGATTTTCAAGCTTATGAGAACAGTAAACCTACTTCCCTTCATGGAGCAACTATCTTAGCCACCTAGGGAAATGTAAAGCTGTGCAAGGGAGGAAGGAGTCCTCTGGCAGTTGGTCTTCAACTTTGCTGCCTTCTCATTTCCTCAGAATTAAAAAAAAAATACGGATGCCTAGCTTCTACATTTAGACATCCTGATTTAATTGGTATGGGTTATAAGTGGGGCATTTGGGTTTTCAAATCTCCCAGGGGATTCTCGTGTGTAGCAAAGTTGGAGATCTACTGCCCGGGAGCCCTTTCACCTGGTGCCATCTTTTGAGTAGGTTTAGTCACCAAGATATTGACCTGAGTTTACATCATTGTCTGGCCACCAAACAGCTGCATGTCCCTCTCTGCCTCTAGTTTTCTTTATTTATAAGACAGGGGACCATCAAATTACCCTCACTAGCTCACAGGTCTCTCATGAGGAAGGAAAGCTCTGATGGGGCTCTAGAGAAACGTTTATTATTTTCCTTTAGTTTACAAACACCGAGCACAGGGAGCCAAACAGGACCTGAGCTCCAAGAATTCTCCCCGAGGCATAATCTCTACATAGAAACTTTTGGGTAATAGCTGTATCTGAAACACCCGGGATTCCCGTTAACAATGTAGATTTCTGAAACTCATGCCTACGCCGAGACCCTAAATAATAAGCACTGGGTGTGAGACAGTAGAATTCATACTTTAAGCAATTTATATGAGTAATTGTTTTTTGTCATTTTTCAATCCATTTTTTTCTCTTATTGCCTCTAATGAATTTTTTTCTCTTGAAAACATACAAAGGAAAACATACACTAATTTGACAATTTGGACGTATACCATTCAGTGGTACTGATTCCATTCTTTGAGCTGGGCTACCATTCTCAGTCTCCTTTTCTGAATTGTCCCTTCTCCAGTCACATAAATGACTGAACATCCCATATAATCCTTCTTATTGCTGCTCTCAGTTGGATGCCACAACAATAGTTCTTTAAAAAAGCATGATGCCCAAGGATCTTTGCGTAATACCTATGGACATGAAACGCTTGAGAGCTGATACTATGGTTGAGGGTCGGGCTGGGGAGAGTTGTTCACTATAGAAACCTAGCTTAGTCTGCCTAGGGGAAGTCTGCTCATCATCCATTTAGTCATGAGATGAGTATCATGACCTCCACATGTACCATTTTCTACTTCTGCCCACTGGTAAACTTTTAGGGTTACCAACGACAGTACCTTAATGCTGGGGGACAAAGGCTTATACTTATAAAACACAGCCTCTTGTTGGAGACCACAGAGTGGCATTGTGTAGAATCCTTGACAAAATTCCCAAGTGAGAAACAGGAAACCTGCAAAGTATTATCTTCCTTTGGGTATGATACAGGAAGAAGACATGACTATGAACTAACCCCATCAGACCCTGTTGAGTAATGGCGGAAAATGGGATGTGGGTTTGGGATTTTTAACTTAAGATAAATCTTCAAAGATATTAGACACCTTGTTAGGAAGTCCCATGAAGATCATTTACCTCTCCCTGGAGACTCATCTCAGAAACCAATTAGGGGATGAAGCTCGGGCAGGGAGTATAAGAAGCCTCTGCAGCAAGGCCTAGTGTTACATCATAGACTCTGGGAGAGAGGCTGGTCCCTATCCATGCTATGCTAGGCTGGGTCTGAAAACAAAAACCAGGAACTTGAGTGTCAGAGAAATATTTGGTCAAGGAACCCAAGGAAAGAGATAAAACCAAAACAACCAGCTACCAAAACACCTTCAAATCCAAGGCCCTGGAATTGATTCTAACTCATGTTGACCTTGTAGGACAGAGTAGAACTGCCTGCAGGGTTTTTCAAGGGCTGTAATCTTTAGGGAGATAGATTGCCACATTTCACTTCATAAAGTGAAAATAAGACATAGAGGGACCTAATCTTCACCAGGTTCTGGTGATTATAGATTTCAGAGTTCATTGCTTATTAGATAGGAAGAAAAAGTGGGTAATTGAAGTTCAAAGAGAAAAAGTGGCTTGTCCAGGTTCATATGTCCAGTGCGTGGTGAACCAGAACCCAAGCCATTTTCTGCACCCTACAGTGCTTTTTCTCTGCTGCAGTGCAACTCCTGTCAGTGGAAGAGCAACAGACAGTAAGTCACAGGCAGAGAAAAGGAAACACTGAATAAATCAGAAGAAGCCAGGAGAGTGGAATTCAGGTGAGAATGGCTCATGCCCAGTTCATGGCTACCTGATCTAATTTCCTTTCTTTGTCATTATCCCTAATGGATCATTTAAGTATTGGCATGGCTGCTGGTGCATGAGGAGTGCACACATGATCAAATCCCCTTGCAGCTCTGGTCCAGAACCCCACCCACCAGAAAAACAACAACAACAATAACAACAATCAACCTAAATCCCTTGCTGTTGAATCGAACTGCCAACCTTTTGGTTGGTAGTTGAGCACAAACTGTTTGTACCATCAGGGACCTCAGAACTCTAGGAAGGACCTTCTACTCCATCAGCACCCATTCCTACAACAGTGCTTAGACAATGCCAGATGGCAGAGGTAGGACTTCTTCCCCTGCTTTCAAATTAGAATGCTGTTTATTGTCAAATTACTGCTTGTGATTAGGGATTGTTAGAACAACTAAACAATGTTTATGGAGATTTGCTGGGTGCTAAAAGGAGCTTATATTTGCTCTTTTGATTCCAAGGTTAATTCTGGTGCTTATTAAAAATATCCCCCTTAACCAGCCAGCCAATTCTAATTAGGGTAACAGCTGTTTGTTAAACATGCATATTGTTAGGATGAGAATAGAAATTCTTGCAAGCAGAACCCATTGTTGACTGCTAATGGATTTTTTCGCCCATTAATGTTCTTTTGCTTGTAGAATATAAATTTTCCTGCCTTAAAATGTTCACTTAAAAATTTAAAAAGCCACCATATGCATACGGAGGGCTTTTGGCTTCCCCAGGCACTTTTTAACTGGCTTTAATCTATGCATGAACCTTGTCTTATAAACAGAACAGATATTTTGATGGCTTTTTGGCAAAAGAAGAAATTGAGAGTCAGGGAGGTTAAGTGGCTTGTGTAAGACCGAACACCTAATTGGGGACAGAGTTGAAAATACAGGAGCTGACTTATAAGTCAAAATTTCACTTGTTCTTTTTTTATTATAGTAGAAGAATTTACCGCTTCTAATCTTGTATTAGAATGAACTATTTATTCACTTTAAAGATAGTTCCCTGTGTTTTACAAACTACAAAAAATGTCTTTGACTGTGGGCCTCATAAAACATCATGGGTAACATTGTGAAGGAGGAGAATTCTAGAATACTTAGTTTGTTCTCATGTGGACCCTGTACGTGGAACAAGAGTCATTCGAAGAGCATAGGGGATACTGTCGGATTCAAGTCAGGAAATGTGGATGACAGTGCTGCATGCTTTTATCAAACATATTTCATCTGCCTGCTGAGCACATAGTCTGAGAAACGGGGCTCTATGAAGAAGAATTGGTGTCAGTATGAGAGGGAGACTCATTAACAACCTGAGATGTGCAGATGGCCCACCTGCTAGTAGAACTTGAAGCATTTGTAGATGAAGATCAAGGACGGCAATCTCCATGATGGATTGCAACTCAAATATGAATAAAACCAAATACTCACCATTGGACCAATAAATAACATAATAAACAGAAAAGACTGAAGTTGTCAAGAATTTAATTTGAATTGGATACACAATCAACACGCATAAAAACAACAGTCAAGAAAACAAAGGATAAACATTGGGCAAATCTGCTGCAAAAGGCCTCTTGAAAGAGTGAAAAAGCAAAGATAGCGATCATCCTGAGGTCTGAGGTATGCCTGACCCACACCATGATATTTTCAATTGATGATTTACAATCAATTTGAATGTTGGTATTAGTGAAACATTTGAACATATCTCAGACTGCCAGAAGGATGAAGAAATCTATCTTGGAAGAAATACAATCGGCATGCTCCTTGGAGTGGTGAGACGTTGTCTCATGTATTTTGAACATGTTTTCAGGAGGAACCAGTTCCCAGAGAAATTGATCACGCCTGACAAAATACAGGATCAGAATAAAAGAAGACTCTTAATGAAGTGGATCAGCAAGGTGGGTGCAACAATGGGTTCACGATAGGAATGATTGTGAATGTGGTTCATGACATTGCAGAATTTGCTTCTCTTGTACATTGGGTCTCTTTGCATTGGAACTGACTGGATGGGACCTAACAATAGTTTGTACTTTTCTATCTTCACTTTAGACTGTGAAGTATGTTGAAGTCAAATGTCCAGATGATCAGCAGAATATAAAATTTTATATTGAAACCAAGGGGCTCCTGCACGGTACAAAGGGCTCAGTGCTCAACTACTAGCCAAAAGGTTGGTAGGCTAAACCTACCCCGAGTTGCCTCGCAAGATAGGTCTGGCAATCCATTTCTGAAAGGTCACAACCTTGAAACTCCCATGAACAGTTCTACTTTGCACACCTGGGTCCCCATGAGTTGGGATTGACTGGATGGTAACTAACAACCACAGCCTTGCAGTGGCTTGACCATGGCAGTGGTCCCTTGATGTGGTTCCTGTCTTCACTGCCACAGGTCATTGATTGAATGGATGGCTGTGGGCAATTACACCTTCGTGACAGAGTTCTTCCTTATTGCATTCACTGATCATCCAGAGTGGGGACTTCCTCTCTTCCTGGTCTTTTTGAGTTTCTATCTCGTTACCCTGCTGGGGAATGCAGGAATGATTCTCCTGATCTGCAAAGATCGCCGCCTACACACCCCGATGTACTTCTTCCTCAGCCACCTCTCCTTTGTGGACATCTGCTATTCCTCTGTCATCGTCCCTCAGATGCTGGTGGTGTTGCTGGAACACGGGGCTGTCATCTCTCAAGTTCGCTGCGCAGTTCAGTTCTTCCTCTTCACTTTCTGTGCCTCCATTGACTGCTACCTCTTGGCCATCATGGCCTATGATCGCTATGTGGCCGTGTGCCAACCCCTGCTTTATGTCACCATCATGACCGAGAAGGACCGCTTAGGCTTAGTGACTGGTGCCTATGTGGCTGGTTTCACCAGTGCTTTTATTCGGACAGTCACAGCCTTCACGCTCACATTTTGTGGAAGCAATGAGATCAACTTTATCTTCTGTGACCTGCCGCCTCTGTTAAAGATCACGTGTGGGGAAAGTTACACTCAGGAAGTAGTCATTATTGTGTTTGCCCTTTTTGTCATGCCTGCTTGCATAGTGGTCATCTTGGTGTCGTACCTGTTCATCATTGTGGCCATCATGCAGATCCGTTCAGCTGGGGGCCGGGCCAAGACTTTCTCTACCTGTGCCTCCCACCTCACGGCTGTTGCTCTCTTCTTTGGCACGCTCATCTTTATGTACCTGCGAGATAACTCAGGGGAATCTTCAGAGGGAGACCGAGTGGTGTCGGTGCTGTATACGGTGATAACCCCTATGCTGAACCCCCTCATCTATAGTCTAAGGAACAAAGAGGTAAAGGAGGCCGTTATAAAAGCCCTAAAAAGGTCAAACGTTGCTCGTAGGCCCTAGGTGGGTCCTTGTGAAATAGTCCATTCCATCTTTTCTCTCTTTCCCCCAATAGTCCCCTTATGGATGAGGTTTTCCCATATAACCCTACTTAAAATTACACCTGAACTACCACCTCCCCTTCCTGATTCATCATTCGGTGGAATACTTTTCATCATCTATACACTTATTTGATATTGTCTAATCCTTGTAACTAGAAATTTAACCTCAGTAGAGTAAGAATTATATGTGGTAAAATTATAAGTAAGAACTATAGCAAGCAAGTGGCAGAGTGGAGATTTCACACAGCTAGAATGTGAGCTCGGAATCTTTCTGTATTATTTTCAGCTATACTCAAGTATCCACTCTGTATTATCATTCAACATGGAACTTATAAATACTGCAACGTTTTTCTTCCTTGTATCTGGTGGACAAAAATGGAAAAGTTCAAACTGTGGGGTCAGAAGAGTGTCACCAACATTTGTTTTGGAGCCGCTACACCATGGCACTGCCGTGCGCTGGAATGGACTCAATGGTGTTATCTTCCTCTTCTTTGAATTTTCTAATACATTGTGATGTAATAATATTTATCAGTGTGTATGTGTACAGCTGGGCATGACCAAGTGAAGTGCAACTTTAGAACTCTAGAAACTTTCATTTTAAGAACATGTGATAAATATTTTAGAGCAGAGTTTAGGAACAAAACCCGTGGGGGGGGGCATTGCATTGTTGGTCAAGGGACTTAGGCTCACACTTTTAATGCTTTTTGCGTCTTTGTAGAAATCCCTTAGACACTTCACAATAGGATAAAGCCTCTCCACAGAATGCATCTTGGGGATCATTTTTCAAATACCAACTGCAATGTAAATATTTTCCTAATATATCAGCTTTGTAAATGGTGATAAATGTATTTATGCTGTACTAGAACTCAAAAATTGATATGAAATGTTCAGTCTGGTGCTTCTTAGCCGCATGGCTTCAGAATTGCTGGTATCTTTTAGCATCTTTCCTTGTCTGTGAATTACATATTGAGTAATTGTTTTGGAATATATCATTAGAAAAATCTTGAATAATAAATCTTGGAGTTAATTGGTGCTAATCTTCTAACTTTGTTCTTTCTCATAGCTACTTCAGCTATTCGATGTCTTTTACATTATTGTGTCAATTTATGCAAAATATCTGTTGCAAATTTGATTGGATACATTGAGTCTGTTCATCAATTTGAGAGAATTAATAGCTTGACAATATTCCAACCCATGAACATGGCTTAACTCTGCATTTACTTAGGCTACTTATCTCTTTCATCAATGTTTTATAATTTTCAGTCATGGTGTATTGTGATTATCATTATCAAAGTAAATAAATGTTCTTGAACAGTTTGGATGGTTAGAAGTTCACAGATGTCATTGTCTAAAGCCACATGCCGATTTAAAAAGAGGTAGTCCTGAGTCAGTAAAAATCCTCTGTTAAAAGGAGATCAGCTAGAGAGACATAAGCAAGGGAAAGGGAAAAGGCAAACTAAATTTGAGATGTTTTAATCTTCTGAGCAATCCCCCAGAGATTATTTATGTAGTTAAGAAGGTTCAGGCACTATGTTCAGCATAAAGATTTAACAGGAAAGATGGTTTATTTTTTTCTCAAAATTAAAGCAATATGCTTCTTTTGCCCTCTACCTCCAAGTGATATGTGCTCACTCTAAAACATTAAAGCAATAAAACACATAATAGCAATCACTCTATCCCCTGACCCAAACAAAATCACAGTTCTGGTTATATATTTGTATGGAACAAAGCATCTTAAAGCATAGAATTGAAACAACAACAATCATCTCATTGCCATATCTCACAGGGCTAAGAGTTAACCGGTCTTAACTAGTCAGTGATCACTCAGGGGATCATTTGCTTACAGTAAGAACTCGGGTTGGAATAATCATAAGCCTCACTTGATCCCAGGTTAGGTGCCTGGCCTGGAGCAGAGGGTTGGAAGAATAGGCCTCTTTTGTGTCCAATTCTCTGTGGTGTCATCAGCAGAGTCTCTTCAGCATGATGTCTTCAGGGTAGTGGGACTTCTTAAATGATTATTTGGGCCAACACTGGGTTGGCTTTTCTAGCACAGTCTTGGAAACATGGGGTGCCACCATCCCCACAGCCCTTCACATTCAAGGAGGGAGGCGAGGCATCAACTTACCCTCTCAGCAGGTGGAGAAGTGGAAAGAAAGTAATGACAATCGTCACAGTGAATCAGTTATTAGTTCCATTCCCAGGCATCTCTTTCCCCATATTGCTAAACACAAACACATTTATACGATACGTGCTGGTTTGAAACATGCTTCATTTATGTTATATCAATTGTTAAAGAGAAAGAAATGGAGGTGAGCAGCATGAGTGAGCTGCAGAATCGTGATAGATCCCAAGTCCCTCTATTGTCAATCTAGGTCTCTTTCTCCTACTTCACACGAAACAATGAGAACAGAGCGCTGGGACGTTGGCTGGTGGAGCTTTGGATGCAATAAGACGGAAGTCAAGATACTTGGAGTATAGAGGGCTTCTAAGAGTAGCTCACATAAAAGCAGATGAATTTTAGATTAATAACAGAAACTCAAGCAAAGTGTAAAATTTAAGCAATCTCATAGAGAAAGTTAGGTGACTGATTGTATATTCCCTCTTAAAAGACACTGGATGGTTCCAAGTTTAGGTAAAAGTGGACATCAGCTTATATTGCTGATAAATGATCCTAGTATGGTGAGGCAGGTCCATATGGAACCAGGGAGACAGTTAAAAAAGAAAAGAATCCCCTTTTCTGAGCGTATACTACTAGAACGACATATCCATACCCGTTTGTCAAACAGCTTTGAGATGGTGGAGTGACTGTTCCCATTTTACAGGTGAAAACTGTTGAGTTAGGTGCTCAGATAACTTCCTTTAGCTCACACAAGGGCATCATAGTTTAGCCTAAGGATTTTCTCCTCACCACAAGGAAACTTCAGACACATCAAATTGAATAACGAGTAATGTTGTAATCAGGTGCCGTTAGTTGGTTTTGCCTCATAGCGACCCTCTGTACAGCAGAATGAAACACTGCTGGATCCTGTACCATCCTCACAGTTGTTATACCTGAAACGTTGCTGCAGATACTGCATCAATGTATCTCATTAAGAGTCTTCCTCTTTTTCTCTAACCTTCTACTTTCCCAAGCACAATGTCTTTTTGGTCTTTTATCTTCAAAGTGACTAAATCAGTAAAAGAGTATTTTGTCCTGTACAAAGAATTTACTTCTGTGCATGTTTAAGGCAAATTCTTTTT